TGAGTTCAAATCCTGGCCTCAGACCAAACACTTGACACTTACTAGTTGTGTGACCCTGATTGCCTCACCAAAAAGAAAAAAAAAAGAAGAAGAAGAAATATGACTATGTTACATTGATTTTAGGTCAAACTGGTAAAATTAGTATCAAGTAAAGCTTGACCCTTTGACTTCACCCTGTTTCCCCTCACACCCACACACCTTCAATGAGGTTGAGTCCTATGGTAAGAAGTAAGTGGCCTTGGAATCAGATGATATAGTGTCATAGTTCTGACTTATTAGCTATTGAGCAAAGTAAGTCACTTAACCTTTCTGGATCTCAGATTTCCTCATCTGTAAAATGGGGATAATAACAGCACCTACGTCACAGCTAGGTAGCACAGTGAACAGCATGCTGGGCTTGGAGTCAGTAAGACCTGAGTTCAAAGTCAGCCTCAGTTATTGTTTAACTGGCTCTGGGAAAGTCCCTTAGCTTCTGTTTGCCTCAGTTTCCTCATCTACAAGATGAGAATAAAACTACTCATGTCACCCACCTTACAAGATCTTTGTGAGGATCCAATAAAATCATGTGTGTAGAGCCCTGTTGTTTGTTTGTTTATTTTTGGCCAGGCAACTGGGGTTAAGTGACTTACTCAGAGTCACACAGCTAGTGAGTATCATGTGTCTGAGGCCGGATTTGAACTCAGGTCCTCCTGACTCCCGGGCTGGGGCTCTATCCACTGCGCCATCTAGCTGCCCCAGTAGAGCCCTTTTGTAAGCCTTAAAACATGATATGAAGATTAGCCATTATTGTGAATTATTGTAAAGATCAAGTGATATGATGTCCATGGAGCCCTCTGAAAATGAGTTGTTTATTGTTGCTATTAGTGGTCAAGAGAAAAACTCAGCTTTTCCCTAAGGGTTGATTTTTCACTTACATAGATTAAAAAAGTATTTTTTTCATGCCCTATGCTATGATAAGAATGTGCCAGGCACTGCCCTGGAAAAAGAAAGGCAAAAATGAAACAATCCCTGCCCTGAGGGACTGAGTCTCTATAGGACACTGGGAAGAAGAAAAAGAGGACCACTCATAACATACACAAAATAAATACAGTGTAATTTGGTGTAGATGGGGTGTGAGGGCACTGGGGGGGGGAGGGGGGAGGGGAGATCAGGAAAGGACCTGCTGTTGGACGTCACCCTAGTGCTAATCCAGGGGTAGGGAACCTGCAGCCTTTTGGCCACATGTGTGTTCCCCACCCCTGAGCTAATCAGCAAAGGAAGCCAGGGATTCCAAGAGGTGGAGATGAGGAAGGATTGCATTTCAGGCATGAAGCACAGACTGTGCAAAGGAGAAGTGTCAGGAGATGAAATGTCATTTGTAGGGAACAGCAAGTTAGCCAGTTTGGCTGAGATGTCGGAGTCCGGGCTGGGGAGTGATGCACGATCAGTCTGGTAAGATCCACTGGAGCCAGACCGTGAACGATTTAAATGCCAGACAGAGGAGTTAATAGTTTGTCCTAGAGACAAGAGGAAGCACCTGAAGTTTTTCGAGCAGGCGAGTCTCATGGCCTGACCTGTGATTTAGGAATGCCAGTTGGGCAAGAGTGTGGATTATACAACTAGAGACAGCCAGGTGGTAGAGATGATAGAGGGCTGGCCTTAACTTAGGAAGACTCCTGCCTCAGATACCTATTAGCTATGTGACCTTGGTCAAATTACTTACTTGACCTCTGTGGCTCAGTGTCCACAAATGGCAAATGAGGGAGTTAGAAAAGATGACCTCTACCAAGGTCCCTTCCAGATTTATATCTCTGGTCCTATGTTTGAAAAAGGAAAGACTGGAGGCAAAGAAACCAATTAAGAGATTACTGGAATTATCTAGACAAGAGGTAATGAGAGCAGGACCAAGAATTGTGGCTATATGAGTGGAGAAATGGGGGTGACCTTGAGAGGTTTTGAAAAGGTAGAATTGATAAGACTTAGTAAATGATATGGGAAGTCAGGAAGAGTGAATCTAAAACTGAGTGACTGGAAGGATGGATATGTGCTCTATGGGGAAAGGAACATAGGAAGAGGGATGAGACTAGGAGGAAAGATAATAAGTTTCACCTTGATTATGTTGAGCTTGAAATGTCTATGGGATATCCACTTAGAGATCATCATAGTTAATTTTCCCTCTGCCTAGAAAGTGGTATAGTGGATAGAGCCATTTGTCAAGGTCTTACTTGGAATTTTCACTTCAAATACTTCCCTACACCCTACCCCTAAATTTGATGATTAGGGTTGATTTCATTGACCATAACAGTTACCAGTCTTAGGTCCTGGCTCTGCCATTAAATAGCTATGTGACTATGTCACTTCCCTTAATTTTAGTCTTAATTTCCAGTCTGTCAAATGAGGGAGTTAGACTAAATAAATTCTAAGGTCTCTTCCAACTCTGAAATCCTATGACTTTAGAGTAAGTCACAGTTTAAGACTATCTGAAGGAAAGAATGGTTCATCCTATAAAACTTTTAGATTCTTATAAGCAATTAAAAGTGAATCAGAGGGAAGGGAGAGGAAAAGGGATGCTAGAAAAAAATGTTGATGATGTAAAATATCAATCAATATTTATAATATATATATAGTATTTTATTTTTTCCAATCACATGTTAAGACAGTTTTTAACATTCATTTTTTAAAAATTTTGAGTTCCAAATTTTCTCCCTCCCTTCATCACATCCCCCTCCCTAAGACAGTAAGCAATTTGATATAGGTTATATATGTTCAATCATGTAATACATTAAGTATATATTTTTAAGTGAACCAGAGGTATTGATGACGGCAATAATGAAAGTTCAGCAGCAGACCGTTCTTGGGCTTATGGAGAACAGTCTATTCCTGGGATTCAGAAGCTTCCAAATTTTAAAGACATTCCAGTGGATCTGTGATCTCATCGATGGGTGAACTCATCCCCCCAACCATGAACATCACAAGTCATCCAGGCTACCATATGCATGCAATTCCTTCCTGTGTCCTCTCTCTATATTTTATTTTTTTAAATTTATTTATTATTTTTAGTTTCAACATTCACTTCCTTAAGATTTTGAGTTCCAAATTTTCTCCCCATCTCTCCCCTTTCCCCACCCCCAAGAGAGCGTGCAATTTGAAATAAGGTCTACGTATACATTCACATTAAACCTATTTTCACATTAGTCATGGTTGTAAAGAAGAATTAGAACCAATGGGAGAAACCATGAGAAAGGAGAAAAAAAAAGCAAATAATATGCTTCTATGTGCATTCAGGCTCCTTGGTTCTTTTTCTGGATGTGGACAACATTTTCCATCATGAGTCTTTTGGAGTTGTCTTAGATCCTTGCATTGATGAGAAGAGATAAGTCTATCAAAGTTAGTCTTCGAACAATGTGACTGTTATCATGTACAACGTTTTCCTGGTTCTGCTCGCTTTACTCAGGATCAGTCCGTAAAAGTCTTTCCAGTTTTTCTGAATTCTGCCTGCTCATCATTTCTTATAGCACAATAGTATTCCATTACATTCATATACCACAACTTGTTCAGCCATTCCCCAACTGATGGGCACCCCCTCAATTTCTAATTCTTGGCTACCACAAAAAGAACTGCTATAAATATTTTTGTACATGTGGGTCCTTTTCCCATTTGTATGATCTCTTTGGGATACAGACCTAGAAGTGGTATTGCTGGGTCAAAGGGTATGCTCAGTTTTACAGCCCTTTGGGCATAGTTCCAAATTGCTTTTCAGAATGGTTGGATCAGTTCACAACTCTACCAAAATGCATTAGTATTCCAATTTTCCCTCATCTTCTCCAACATTTATCATTTTCCTCTTTTATCATGTTAGCCAATCTGATAGATGTGATGTGATGTAATGTAATACCTCAGAGATGTTTTGATTTGCATTTCTCTAATCAATAGTGATTAAAGCATTTTTTCATATGACTATCAATAGCTTTAATTTTTTCCTCTGAAAACTGCCTGTTCATATCTTTTAACCATTTATCAATTGTATAATACTTGTATTCTTGTAGAGTTGACTCAGTTCTCTATATATTTTAGAAGTGAGGCCTTTATCAGAGACACTGGTTATAAAAATTCTTTCCCTTTCCCTTTTGTTTTCTGTTCAAAAACTTTACAAGTTAATGTAATCAAAATTATCCATTTTGCATTTCATAATGTTCTCTGTCTCTTTTTTGGTCATAAATTCTTCTGTTCTCCATAAATCTGACAAGTAAATTATTCCTTGCTTTCCCAGTTTGCTTAAAGTATTGGCTTTATATCTAAATTGTGTACCCATTTTGACTTTATTTGGTATATGGTGTAAGATGTTGGTCTGTGCCTAGTTTCTGCCATACTATTTTCTGGTTTTCCCAGCAATTTTTGTCAAATAGTAAGTTCTTATCCCAAAAGCTGGAGTCTTTGGGTTTATCAAACAATAGATTACTATAGTCATTTACTACTGTGTCTTGTGTACCTAACCTATTCCACTGATGCACCACTCTATTTCTTAGTCAATACCAAGTAGTTTTGATGATTGCTGCTTTATAATACAATTTAAGATCTGCTATGGCTATTCTAACTATATTTTAAAAAGGAAACCATTTGTAGCATATGAAAGGACATCTCTGTTCCCTGAAAATTGTTTTAGTGAATGTATTTTAAAATGATGGTTGTGTAGGTGTACACAGGCTACCATTGTCATATACTTTGACTGTGTAACATTTACTGGAGTGGTGTATATGATATATTCATTTAAGTGGATTATTTAGATGCCAGATATGAATGTTTTCTGTGTTGCCATAAATAACCAGAATGAAACCTGGATATCTGTGCATGCATTGCTTTTTGGCAGTTGTCTAACTGAATTATTACTAATAGATTTTTCTCTTCTCACATCCTATTCTCTCCATGACTTTCTTCCCCTTGCATTTCACTCTCTTCTCATGCCTTGGCACCTTTCGACTTCCCCAACCTGCTGCATTTTCCGACTGCCTCCTGCTCTCCAGTGTGACCAAGATCAGTGCATTCAGAGCACCAAATTCGTTTTGCAGGCTGCAGCCACGCCATTGCTCCAGAGCGAACCAAGCCTAACCAGTGAGGAGCTCCCTTTGCCAGGAAAGACCACACTGGGTGCTCCCTGTGCTACCTTGTCCCTGGGGCAACCAACACCACCCTCCTCCATGCCCAATCTCACATCAGAAACTGTTTTGACAGATATGATACCATTGAAAGAGGAACATGATGGCCATCAGTTCCTTACACCAGAGGAAGCCCCCTCGCCCCCTGGTATGTTGTCAACAGGCAGTCCTATCACACATAGTCACACCCTGCATGTCCTAAGCTTGGCCAGCCAAGACTCATTGCATGAAGACTCCGTGCGTGGCCTTGTAAAGCTCAGCTCAGTCTGACCAATATGGACAGTTGGCATGGGGGCGGGGGAGGCGCAGTGCACTTTTCCAAGGACTTTGCTACTCTTGAGACCACGTGTGGAAGCCAGCAAAAGAGATCTTCCCAGCACTCCATATTCTAATTCCATCATGGCCTCGGTGATGAGGATACCCTGTTGTGGGTTAAATGAACATCTGGAAAGTAGATGGATCGATTTGGGGGCAGGTCCTAAAGCTCATAATTTTGTCTTATTTGACTTTCCTTCCCTTTCCCCAATTTTTCCTCCCCTCCCACCCTTAATAAAAACTGAAATTGATACCAACAGTCCAGTTTTCTGAAGCCTTGGGCAAGTGGGAATTTCCCAGCAGCTGGAGTCACATTTCTGAATCTTTATTTCAGTAGAAGAAAGATCTTGGGATATAAATGCCACATTCTGTGTTCTCTATTATTGTAATATGCACTGGTTAAGGGTTTATGATATTTTGTGGCCAGATTGAAATGCATTTAAGTGTTATACTACTAATATTTGAATTAGACAATTTCCATTCTGTTTATTAATTAAAAGAATTTTAAAAGAGAAAGAAGAAAAAAAAAGAGTAGTTGTGGATTTACATACCACACTGTAGTATGTGTTACAGTTGTGTTGGTATCAAGAAGAAGTGCTGCAATTTTTTTTTAGTTGTGACTTTCCAAGTTCAGTTTCATTGAAGGACAGTTATCAAACTGAAACCAATGGACAATGTTATCATTTCTCAACCATTCAACTTTATTATCTGTGGATAGGTAGTGCCTATAATACCCTGGGTTTTATCACATTACTTATCATTTAATCTTCTGTTAAATATTTAGATTAGGTATTGTGTTGTGCCATGCCTGCCTGGGATTGGTCGCTCCCCACTATGGGTGAGATTTCCAGTGGACATCCAATAAAAATGCCATCCTCCATTTCTCTGGATCTTCATACAATTATCCTTATAAAGCCTAAAGGACAAAATCATCAGGAGGACCAGCGAAAGGTTTGTGGTTGTTGAAAAAGACTGGCAGGGAATAAGCCTGGATCCACGGTGAATCGGATCAATGAATAGTATCATATCGATGGGAAGGTTTCTTTGGTAGGAAGGTGACTTTTTGTCCAGTTCCTAGCACCTGTTGCCTACTTATGGCTTGTTATTTAGGGAATTAACTTGTATTTGCATTTTGTGAAGTTCGGTGCTGCTGTAGACCCAAGATAAAGGAGTTGTTCAAATAGGAGATTGATTCTCTTCTCTGTTCATCCTGTTCTGTGTGCTGAGCGAAAAGGAAAGAAAACGGGAAACTGTTAGAGGTGTCAAAGAGTTAGAATAAGGAACCTGTAGGAAGTATGTGGGGAGAACCTGAGGGGGTCATTCCTCTTAACTAGGCCATTAATCCAAGTAGAATTAGGAAAATTACCAACTCATCCCTTTCAATTTATAACTTGGGGCAGGGATTGGGGAGGACATTGGATTTCCTTTAAGGAAATATTCAGCTCAGGGGCAATTGCAGGGGACCCAATTTGTTATTGAGAACTGTGCCATGTACTCTATTTGCCTTCCACTTCAGATGATAATGCCTGCAATGATTTCTTCTCAGGACAAATTAAATTCTGCAAGCTCAAAATAATGTTCTCTGTCCATATGACTGGCTAAAAGACAAGATGCATTTATTATTGATCAAGAAGCCCAGACACTTTGAATTAATGGGATAAGGCCATTTCCTCTAATATAAAGTGGGAGAAAAATGACCATCTTGTTTGAAGATACGGGAAAAAAAACAGAAGCACAATTTGGGTCCTGGAACAAAGCCATCTCTGCTGGCATTGAAGCCATACCCAGATCTCTCCTCTTTCTCATGACATTATACCATTTGATTTCTCCCACTCTGAGAATATGTGATCCTGTGTTTACTGGTGGTCCCCTCACCACTGTCACCACTGTTACTCCTTACACTGGCAAGTAGAAAACAGAAAAGATAAATCACAAGAGCAGTTGCTCATTTCCTAGATCTCCTGACCACTCCTTCCTACTTGCAGACTGGAAACTCGTACACCTGTCTTTGGAAGATTAAGGAAGAGGTGGAAGCAGTTTAGGGCTACGTCAAAGTGTGATGGGCTGCCTTGGGAGACAAGCTCCCCTTCAACAGAGGTGTTCAGGCTGAGGCTCAATGAATGTTGTTTGGGGATGTGTAGAAGAGTTTCAGGCGCAGGTTGGAAGAGATGCCTGTACATTGAGATCCTGTGATTCTGAGTCACTCATAAACAAAAGAGGCCAGATCTATCCCGTGGTGGCACAGTTCCACAAGACTCTTTGCACAAATACTTAAGCCCACCCATCACCCCCATTCACGCTTTGTGAAGAAATAAAACAATGTGCCTTCTTGATGTGGTTCCCAGAAACAGGTGAGAGGACAAAGGCAGCATGGAGAAGCAGCCTGCCGTCATGGACAGAGCCTTGGCCCTGGGGTAAGGAAGGTCTTAGTTCAAATCCTGCCTCAGACACTTACTAGCTGTATGGACCTAGACAAGTCATTCAACCTCTCAGCCTCAGTTTCCTCATCTGCAAAATGAGGATAATAATAAATAACACCTACCTCACAGGGTTGTTGTGAGGATCAAATGAGATAATATATGTAAAGTGCTTTGAATTTTTTTAAAGCATGATAGAAATGTTAACTCTCTAGTTAACTAACTAGTGATGGAAAGAATTCTGAACTAGCATCTGGGAGGTCTGAGTTATGGTGTATGACTATGGGTAGGTCAGTTTTACTTCCCTAACCTTCATTTTCCTGTCTAGACTAGCGTACTTCTAAGATTTCTGCCAGCTCTAATGTTCAAGAGTTCTATGATTTTTCTGGGACCAAGATACCCCACCTTATTAGGAGAGTCCCTGCAGAATAACAATGAGTCCTTAGCCTCATGTGTAGGATATTCATAGAATGCCTTTTTTCTACCCTCTATCATTATCCCTCTCCTCTACCTTCTCCAGTAACCAACCACTACATTATTTATCAAACTCTGCTTTCAAGTGAGCATGGCTGTTCAGGATTTACTGTGCTATTAAAACTTGGACCATTATCGAAAGAGCCATTTCTCCAGGGGAAGTGAATTTAGTTCATGCAGCCTGCCTTGAGGGGCACTGCCTCCCTGCACTGTGGTTAAGAGGAGAAGTAAGGGCCTGAGGATTAAATGCATCTGTGTTTACACTGGCCCTCCCCTTCCTATTGGTTCCAAGATTTGCTTTCTGGAAGCTTGAATGTCCTTCAACATCCCAGAGTGACATGACCTAGTCTATATTTTTAGATATTTGAGTAAGCTATAATCAAATATATTTTGATATTTTGCAAACTGCCAGTGTCATAGATTGATTGTTTGCTAGATACCAGTGAAGTAAGATAAATATTTTACTATGCTACTAAAACTTAAGACTATTATCTCATGCACACACAAGCTTTATTGTTTAAAGATTCATCTGCTTTCAGTTTTCCCAGGAAAGCTGGGGCAGGATATATGCTGCCCAGGCTCTTTGATAGGATGGCTGAGTTTCATCCAATTACCCCTGGCTTCTGAAAAGGAGGGCTGACGAAAGCATCATCAGATCTGTAGACAGTCTGTGCCTGTGAGAGCTCAGTGACAAGGCGCTCTGGGGCCTCGGGAATTTGCTGTCACATTCTGTCCTGCAATCAAGCTGAAATGTGACAGGTTTCTTTTTTTTCCCAAGTGGTCCAGTCTGTAAAAATGATGCAACATCCTCCTTGGAATCTTCTATTTTGGACACTTCTAGTGCCCGCAAAGACCTATTGCTAATCCCACAGGCCATGGCCAATTATAGAGCCCCATTTCATTGTTTTCTTACCCTGTTGATTTTATGATTGGCTCATCAGGGTTAAAAATGGAAAGTAAATATTATTTTGTTTTCCACTTTGTAATCTCATCCCAGGCCTAAGTTTTTTGTTGTTGTTTTCTCCTCACTCCCTACCTCTTATATATTTGGTTATTATTTAGAGGTTGCATAGTATTGTTGAAAGAACACTGGATTTGAAATCAGAAGAATGAGTTTGAATCCCTCCTATGCTACTTATAACCCCTATGACCTTGGGCCAGTCATTTAATTTCAGTGAGTTGTGGTTTCCTCTTCTGTAAAATGAGATTAAATCAGATGCTGTCAAGGTTCCTCCCAGTTCTAAATCCTATGATCCAACTCCTGCCCCTTCTCCTAGCTACCAACCAAAAGAAAACCAAACCCTGCACTTCACTGTGTTGTATCAGGTCTCCTTGGCACTGTTGCCTTGTGAGGACATCTACTGGAAAACACAGAGAATTTTCTGAAAGCTTTCCCATTCAGTGGCTCCTGAAGGGACTGCAGTCAATCCAGCTTGCAGAGGAAGAGTCCAGGCTATCCGCATCCCTTCCACCTTCACTTACACCTGACGCCCAGAAGCAAAAGGTTTCCATGGACTTTAGTTCTCTCTCCTAGACCTTGGTCCATAACTGCTCCTCGGGCAGGGGTGGGGGCCGAAGAGGAGAGGGAGAGGGTTAGGATTCATTTGCTTCTGTTCTGTGTTTGTGTGTGTGTGTGTGTGTGTGTGTGTGTGTGTGTGTGTGTGGTGTTTTTTCATGGCTTCCTGGCAGGGTATCAAGAATTTGGTTTTATAATCCTAAGAGATGTTTGAAAAATTGTCTTATTTTTTGTGATAGTCTTGAGGAGAGCCCAATGTACAAATTATTTTATAGGGCAAGAGGGGGTGGGGGGAGGAAAAGGGATGGAGGGGGAAGCAAAAAAAAAGAGGGAACAAGTTTTGAATATTGCTGCCTTATGACTGTTTTGAAGCTGAGCCTAAATAGAAGTCATGTTTACAGTTTTCTTCATCAAATATCTATGAACCTGTGGAAATCTAGTGTTTTCTTATCCAAAAGGGAGAGGCTTTAAAATACACTACCTGCTCCTCCACCCCTGTATATGTGCATAAAATTCTACGTCCTCTCTAATGGAATTCTACTGGATGCTTTCCATATTGCTTCCTAAAAGATAGCCTCTAATTTGTTTCTTTAAAATATGTCCCTTTCCATCTTTTAAAATAAGTTATCATTAATAGCTTAGATTACTTACAACATTGTTCTCATTGTAATCATAAATGTCCAAGACCATTACATTTTTTTTGTAAATCACTGAATCCTCTAGCAACTTGCCCATTGTCCATGGTCCTGATAATGCAACCGAGATGGATTTCCAAATACAAGTGGTTACTACATTAATTCTGCCATTAAAAATAGTTGTGCAGATATAAGATTAGATTGCTTCT